GTAGTTGGATCAGTGGTTCCGGGTGTAAGTGGCCAATTCTGTACTTGAAGGCTTGGAGGTTCGTGGGTACTTATAAGTGGGAGTAGAACTCACTAACGTGGGCTATAGCTATAGCTATCCTGCTTATACACCCACTTATAATTACCAATGAACCTCCGAGCGAATCATCTCCACGACGAAGAGCGTTCCATGGGAATGGGTCACGAAGCTCGAGCTCGTGCTGGCCGGATCGGTTTAGGGTTTAGGGCTTTAGCTCCAAGCTCGTTCTTGCTTTCTTTGCATGGCTGTACCCGCAGAACTCCGCGGTTGTCTCCACACTCACGCTCACAAGGCAGCTTCTCCTGCCTCCAAGCTTCGCAGAAAGATCTTCGATCTTAAGATAGTTATGACAAATCCTAAGCCTTAAGCCTCAAACCCTCCAACCCTAAACCCTGTTCTGGCTTCAGTTCAAGTCCATAGGATCTGAGACATGAGGGCCAGGGCTCACACTTGGAGCCGCTGAAACATTGGCAGCACTCACCTGCTGGTCCACGGTGGCCCCTACACTAAACCACTATGGTAGCCCTTATAGACCCATTCTAAAGGGAACCCTAGCCGAAGTCTTGAGGCCCGAAGACGTAGCTATAAAGACCCTAGGAAGGAAGGAACTCTCGAGGTCGGAACAGATCAGGTAAGCTTTTGTGATGTTTCGGATGTTGCTTCATTGCGCTGAAGAGGATGCGTGCAGAGAGCCCAAAGAAAAGAGACATGGGCGAGCAGGAAAAGGCACGGGAGTGTTTAGTTTAGGGTTTAGGGTTGAGGGTTTGGTAATTTTGGTATTTGGGGTTTATGTTTGAGGATTTAGGGTTCAGGCTGTAGGGTTGAGAGTTTAGAGTGAAGGTTTATGATTTTAGCTGGGGCTGGCTTAGAGAGTATATCCTTCGTAGTAGAGGAATGGGTAAGTAAGCTTTAACCTCTTTGGGATACAGTAGTCTGCACACAATTCAGTACATAGATCCCTCTAGCGGATGTTGCCTGCTGCCGCCAGCAGGCACCGCCACCAGAGCCCTTGAGCAAGCAGGCGAAGAAGGTTTGGAGTTCAGGGGCCCTAAACCCTACACCTGCTTTAGGGTTTAGGGTTTAGGGTTTAGGGTTTAGGGGCCTTCGGCTTTGCGGTCTGGGCTTATGGGTGAGATTGTGCGTCTTTCTCTTGCCCCCCCCCCCACTCGGAGAGCTTCCTCTGTCGCTTTGCAGGTAACCCGAACCCTTGGGGTAGGTTTACCTATACCTGCACCACTCAATACTTGTATCTATGCATGTGCCTGGACATGTATGCATACGTGTATATATACACACACACATACAATATACATATAGACATATATATATATATATATATATATATGTGTGTGTGTGTGTGTGTGTGTGTGTGTGTTTGTATAGGTATCGGTATAGGTCTCTGTATATGTATGTGTATGCAAGCGCATATGCGCAAAGCGGGGATTGACATTGAAGGCTGTGGAAGGCCAGGTAGCCAAACCGTAAATTCCAAGATCATTCACTTCATCAGCCCTATCACATGCCCTGTCCCCGAAAGTCCCAGACTAAGCCCAAAATCTAGCAAGCCCAAAACCCCAGACAGTAAAAGAGGAGTATACCCTGACTCATACTAAGCTTCAGCATTCATGTTGAGCCCCTTGCAATTCAGGTTATATCCCTCTTTCATCAAACCGTAGGTAGCAAGGGAAATTTCTGCCAGGCGGCCGCCCCTCCGGAGCCAACGCAGCCTCCGCCACAGGTGCGACACGAGTCTGCGATGAGAAGGGAGGGTTCTACAGGTTCCTCTGAGGGCGTTTTCAAGCTTCATAGTGTTTTATAGGGTTTAGAGTCAAAGTATGGTTCGTGGGCTTGAGTTTCAGGTTCAATTAGAGGTCTAGGGGTTAGCAGCATTATGGAGGTATGGAAGCAGGAACTTTGGTGGTGATAGGGCTTGTGGGTTTAGGGGATAGTAGCATTACAGAATTCGGAACTTTGGATTTAGAGCACACCCTAAACCCCACAACCCCTAAACCCTTCAAAAGCCTCAGCTTTCAAGCCTTGTGAGCCCGAGGACCACTCCCCTAGAAACGGGGTATTCGAGCCTCTGCAAATACGCTGCTACAGTTCTGGTTTTGGGATCAGGTGGGTTTGCGGCTTCGGGGGTGTAGGAAGGGTTTGGAGGGGTTCAGGGTTCAAGAGGGTTTATGAGTCATGAAGCAGATGGCTCAAATCTGCTACGGGATCGTGCAGGGGGGGTGGGAACCCCTAAACAAAGGCCCTAAACCCTAAACGTCCTAAACTGTGTGGCTCAGGCGGCACCAATCGCGGCTCAGTCTGCCCCGAAGCCACCGAAAGAGACAGCACAGGCGGGCTTGAGGATAATTGAGTACTATAATACGAATCCTTCGGGCTCCTTATTATGACTACAGCAGAAGATGCCCAAAACCCCATTGGAATTGTGAAGGCGATTGTGTGCAGGGGGTTGGGCTGCTGGGGTTGAGGACTTGGGGATGAAGGCTTCGACAATCGAGCGTTGGCCTTCGCGGTGGCATCGTGGGCGGTTTTTGTCTGCCATTCTTTTCCATTGATCCCGAGAGCTGATCCCATGTAAAGCAATATACTGATATTTATAAATAAATAAATATATAT